TTCACAGGCGCAGTCGCTCGTCCGTCGCCCGCCGTCTTCGTTGTCGTCTCCCGGACCTCCGCCGCGGTCGGCTCCTCTCACGCTGGCGGAACGGAACGCACGCCGTGGGTGGGGGGGGGGGGCGAGGCCGCCCAGGCGCCGCCGCCTGCACACGTCTTCGGGCCACGCCGGATCGTTCGCAGGGGCCCCCGAGCCTTTGGGAGCGGACCCCAAACAAGAGGCCCAACACATTGGGGGCACAGCGGCCTCCCAGACGGGGTCGGAGGATCGCGCCGCATCGCCGATACCTCGGCGATACATCGCCTATGCACCGGCGATGCATCGGCAACATCGGCGACGCATCGGCGACGTCGGCAATCCTCCGACCCCATCTACTCCGACCCCATCTGGGAGGCCCAGAGGACAGGGGTTCTTTCAAGCAGAAGCATCAAACCAAACCACCCCGATGGACTCTCTCTCTCTCTCTCTCTCTCTCTCTCTCTCTCCTCCGTGCAAAACCGAGGGGACCTAAGTTAGACCACTTCTTCACTGCGAAATCAGGGTCATGGATTATCTGACCCTCGATGACTTCCGACTTGGTCTCGGGCGGTCTGGGAGCCGTCTTGATGCCGTGTCAGACCGCGGCCCGGGGTTCCGAGCTGGGGCGCCGCCGCGGGGTGCTTGAGGCCTCGCCTTGTCCGCCGTGTGTCCTCTCCTGTACTTGTGCGACCATGCCACGCACCACTTCACGCTTCGCGTTCTGCGGCCGCAGCCGTACAGAGGCGAAACGCGTCTTCTTTGCACAAGCCCCGACGTTTCAAGCGCAAGGGCTCGTCATTAGTGAGGACTGTTCGACAAGGTGTGGAGTGGGACCGAAGGCGTCCACGGAACTCCCAGAGCGAGTTCGAATGCAACTGCGGAGCCAGGCCGAAGCCGATTGGAGCCGGCCCGAGACCAACTAGTCGCTCCACCCCGTGGGCCTCCCTCTGGAGGTATCAGAGGCGGCCTCCAAGGAGGCCTCCGACCGAGAACCTCCGACAGAAAAGCCTCCTCGGAAGCCTCCTTGGAAGCTGTCGGAAAACGTGGAATCCACAAGAAGGCTTCCGAGAAAACAGTCCGAGGGGATATCGTGGCCGTCTGACGGAGAATTCGCGCCGTGGTGGGGGGGAGGGTCTGGGACAATGTGGGGGACCCCAGCCGTGTCCAGGGATTGCACCAGGGAGGCCTGCAGGAGGCAAGGGATCGCTGAGGCGACCTTCCTGACCCGGGGCGGAGGGCCCCCAGGACCCCCAGGCTGACCTTCGCATGCGTTGATCATGCGTCACCAGATTTGTGCGCATGCACACAGCGGGTTAGTACGCATACGCACATTTACGAATACACCTGGTGTATGCGTACCTCTCTTTATTACTACAGACACCGACGCGCCACTTCAGCATTCCCCATTGGGTGATACGGATTGTTCTCGCCATTTTCGAGAGAAGAAAACGGACGATGAGGAAGGTATGAAAGACGAGGATGATGAGGAAGATGAGGATGTTGAGTATTGTAGTCAGCATGCTTCCGCTCGTGTCATTCTCCTCCGCATCACGCTGGCAACCATCATGCTCATTCACCGCCTGGTGCTCCTTTCCCGCTCTCCTACTCACCTGCTTTCCTGCTCCTTCTGCTCCTCCTCCTTCTTCTCCTCCTTTTCCTCCTCCTTTTCTTCCCGGTTTTCCTTGTCCCCTTTTGGCGGCCCAAAATTGTCCGAACACTGCCCGGAAACCCACATCACGGCCCACGATCTTCATAAGGCGCACCAAGACGGCCCCCCAAAGGCACAAATAAAGTACGATCCGTCGCTTGTTCTGCATGTTTGCATGCTCGCCTTTTCGATATTCCGGGTGTCTACGAGAGCCCAGGAGGTCCCGCGACGGGCACAGGCGGGCCAAGAGGGCACAAGAGGGCACAAGAGCGTCCTAAGAGAGCTCCCGCACGGTCCCACATGGCCCGCAATCGACCCCAGGGAGCGCAAAGACGGGCCAAGATGCCTTTCGGACGACGCAAGAAGCCCCCAAGACGCCCCGAGAGGACCCCGAGGGAAACCCCAAGGGGCCCCGAGAGCCCAAATAATAGATTGTCAAACTGTGGGTTGTGAGTAACGCTGCCGAAGAAACCCACATACTTTAGGACATGTCTGGGCTGATGATAGCTGAAGTGAAACATGCAATAATGATGCGGATGGCCGTTGCCCCGCCGATACCGCTGGTGACGCCGATGCCGAAAAAAGGGTCCAGTAAGTACCTCGTCAAGCACTGTCTCCTTGCATCGTCAGCGCCTCGTTGACGCGGTAACTATTCGCAGTTGGTGAATCGCGTCTCAGGACACCAGTTCATAAGCTGCCGGCGGTGAGCATGAAATGTGCATGGTACCATGCGCTCCCATGGCTGACGATATACCTGCGCAAACTATCCAAGTTCACCTCGGCACCCATCTTTAGCATTGATCTCTTGAGCTCCTCGCGCGGCGGTGGCTGCGCGGACATGGCGCATTTGGGCGCCATGGCGGTGAACATGAGTTTTAAGGAAAATCACCGGCATCAGCCAGGGAGGCTGCAAATCTTGATGATGATGATGGTGGTGATGATGATGATGCAGCTGGTGATTATGATGATGATGATGATGATGATGATGATGATGATGGTGATGATGATGATGATGATGATGATGACGCCACGCCTGCTATACCGTGGACGACCGTCACGGATAGCGGGCGCGTTCAGAAACCACTCCTTGCGCAACTCCTACGGTGTCGAGACAATTCTACGCGTGCTATGCTGTGGGCGACTGTGACGGATAGCGGCCGCGCCCAGAGACCCAAACCTGCGCACCCCCCACGATGTCGAGAATATGCCTCGCTTGCTTTGCCCTGGACGACCGTCACGGATAGCGGCCGCCCTCAGAGACCCCCCCTGCGCACCCTCTACGGTGTCGAGCATATGAAGTGCCTGCTATGCCCTGGACGACCGTCACGGATAGCGGCCGCGCCCAGAGATCCCCCCTTGCACACCCCCTGTTGTGGCGAGGATCTGCCACGCCTGCTATGCCCTGGACGACCGTCACGGATAGCGGCCGCGCCCAGCAAAGCCACTCCGTGCGCACCCCTTATATGGTGTCGAGAATATGCAATGCCTGCTATGCCCTGGACGACCGTCACGGACAACGGCGCGCCCTGCGCAAAGACCATCCCCTGCGCACCTCCGATGGTGTCGAGAATATGCCACGCCTGCTATGCCCTGGACGACCGTCGAAGAGAGCGGCCGCTCTCAGAGACCACCCCCTGCGCAACCCCCATGGTGTCGAGAATCTGTCATGCCTGCTATGCCCTGGACGACCGTCACGGATAGCGGCCGCGCTCAAAGACCACCCCATGCGCACCCTCCATGGTGTCGAGAATACGCCACGCCTGCTATGCCCTGGACGACCGTCACGGTACTGGCCGCCCTCAGAAACCACACCCTGCGCACCCCCTAAGCTGTCGAGAATATGCTGCGCCTGCCATGCCGTGGACGACCGTCACGGATAGCGGTCGCGTTCAGAGAGCGCCCCCTGCGCACCCCTTTAGGTTGTCGAGAATACGCCACGCCTGCTATGCCCTGGACGACCGTCACGGACAACGGCCGCCCTCAAAGACCATCCCCTGCGCACCTCCGATGGTGTCGAGAATATGCCACGCCTGCTATGCCCTGGACGACCGTCGAAGAGAGCGGCCGCTCTCAGAGACCACCCCCTGCGCAACCCCCATGGTGTCGAGAATCTGTCACGCCTGCTATGCCCTGGACGACCGTCACGGATAGCGGTCGCGTTCAGAGAGCGCCCCCTGCGCACCCCTTTAGGTTGTCGAGAATACGCCACGCCTGCTATGCCCTGGACGACCGTCACGGTAGCGGCTGCCCTCAGAGGCCACCCCATGCGCACCCCCTAGGGTGTCGAGAACATGCTGCGCCTGCTTTGCCGTGGACGACCGTCACGGATAGCGGCCGCGCCCAGAGATCCCCCCTGCACACCCCCTGTTGTGTCGAGAATATGATACGCCTGCTACGCCCTGGACGACCCTCACGGATAGCGGCTGTCCTCAGAGACCCCCCCGTGCACACCCCCTAGGGGGTCGAGACTATGCTGCGCCTGCTATGCCCTGGACGACCGTCGAAGAGAGCGGCCGCCCTCAGAGACCATCCCCTTGCGCTCTCCCCATGCTGCCGAGAATATGCCACGCCTGCTATGCCTTGGACGACCGTCACGGATAGCGGCCGCGCTCAGAGACCAACCCCTGCGCACCCCCTATGGTGTCGAGAATATGCCACGCCTGCTGTGGACGACCGCCACGGTAGCGGCTGCCCTCAGAGGCCTTCCCATGCGCACCCCCTAGGGTGTCGAGAATTTGCTGCGCCTGCTACGCCCTGGACGGCCGTCAAGGATAGCGGCCGCGCACCCCCTACGGCTGTGTCTGGACGTGTGTGTGTGTGTGTCATGTTGATGCCCAGTATGTGGCGCATACGTCTTGTGTGTGTGGTGCAGTGAGCACGCCAGGCGTGCACTGACGTCGCCAATGCGTGTGTTTCGTGTGTATTGTGCATGTCTATGATGTATCTGCTGCTGTATGTGGACGCGTGTCGAAATATGGGTGTATGGTACAGTCAACACGCCAGGCGCGCACCGGCGCTGTATGGTGTGTGTGTGTGTGCGTGTGTGTATGTGTGTGTGTGTGCGAATGTGTGCATGCGTGCGGCTGTCTGTATGTAGACGCGTGTCTCATGTCCGCGCCGTCCATGTGTGTCGCGTGGGCGAGGGGAGGAAGAGGAGGAGGAGGGAAGGGAAGGTGCGGGTGAGACGCGTGTGCGACTTGGCAGAGAAGAGCGCCAGAACCCCATCAAGCACGTGGGGAAACAACTGCATCGTCCTCGCACTCCTTCCTCACACAGCCATTCACCCTCCCAGTCCCCCCCCTCGATTCGCTAGACTGCGCACTGCTCCACAAGCCTTGTAGTTCTCGCTGGTGGGCTTCGTGAAATCGTATTGCTCTGGCATCTTGAAGCCGTATGCAAAACCCTTCTGCAGCTTGCGCACCAGCAGCCGCAACGTGATCGCTCCTGGGCCCTCCTTCACGGCAGCCGCAAACTGCTCCCGCCCCACCTTGCCACTCTGATCCGTGGGCATGCTTGCGTATATGCGAGCAATCTCGTCACGACCCAGATCCTGGAATCCGAGATCGTTTGCCAGACTTGCCAGGTGGTCCACCGTGAGGAAGTAATCCTGCAGGGTATCGTCCTCGGAGGCCGCAGGCAGGTCGCCCATGGAGAGGCTGCTGCTCCCGGATCCCCAGGCCCCTCCGAAGAAGGCCGACTTTGACTTCGACCCCTGATGGCGAGAGAAGGCCTCGCCCACCACCTCGGGGCAGCACATGCCAGGCGTGAACACGAACGTTCGGAGGCCCGCGCTGCTGTCTTGCGTCGACGACGGAACCCCGCCGGGCATGCGGGGAGGCAGGCCCAGCGTCGACCGAAGAAGTCCGCGGGGCCCTCCGAAGGCTGATGTTCACGTCGTTGTCGTATGAACTGGCTCTGGGACACACAAATAAATAGACACAACTAAAAGGATTCCGAACATTCTTCCATATTTTCTGGGTTTCTGTCTTCCCCCCCACTTCCCATATTTTCCCATATTTTCGAAGGAATCGACGATGAATGGTGTCTGTGTGCTTTTTCCCCTCCTGATCGTAGACGGCACCTGCTTCATGGACTTGAACTTGCCGACCGCGGTCGACATGCGGTGGCCGACCGCGGCCGAGTCGTGGGACCCCCTCAGGCCCGCGTCGGACCCCCTGTGGTTCACCCCGTTGCCGTCGGAGTCGCTCCGCTTGCTCCTCTTGCTCTTGTCGACGGCGTACTGGTAGAACAGGCTGATCACCTGAGGCCACGAGGCAGCAGATCTCCGAGGCACAAGGGGGGGAGGAATAGAGAGGGAAGGGAAGGGGCGAAGAATGCGGACCTTTTCAGGCCTGGACCATGTGAGCACTCCTGATCAGGCCAGGGGACAACCCTTGAAACAAACGAGACAGGACACTGGCTCCAGCTTTGGTGGGGCCAAGTGAGAGCCTGCCTTCGAGTCGTGTCGCTATCACGGGGCACGCTTCACCAATCAGCCTGGCCGTCTTGACAGTGTAACGCCCGAAGGTCTGGCAACTAAAAATACTCTGACACCACACCAGGCCCGCAGACAGGGGGGGGGGGGGGGGGACAGCGCTGAGACATGGGGTAGGAGGCCAAAGCCCTTCCCGAGGAGGAGGAGGAGGAGGAGGAGGAGGAGGAGGAGCAGGAGGAGGAGGAGGAGGACGAGGTGGGATGAGAAGGGAGAAGAAATGAGGGAGGAGGGAGGAGGGAGGGTGGAGGAAGGAGAAGGGAGAGAGCTCCCGCTGCCTCTAAGAGAACCCTGTAGCGCGGCGCTGTCGGGGAGCAGTCCGCGCGATGCCTCGAGCGGCCAATGATCTGGGTGCCACATCTTCCCACGCCTTCCGTCCTCCTTGGCCCCCTCACCGGCCTGCGCAAGAGGGTGCTCTCCCCCCCCCAGCACGGGGCAATCTTGTCCCGCATTGGCCTCCTCGTCTGGGGCGTTGTCCCACACGCTGGATCCGGAGTCGCTGTCCACGGACCACGGGTGGACCTCTTCCTCCTCCTCTTCCTCATCCTTTTCATTATCTTCCTCCTCCTCCTCCTCCTCCTCCTCCTCCTCCTGCTCCTCCCCCTCTTCTCCCCCTTCTCGTCTTCCTTCTCTTTCCCCCCCTCCTCGTCGTCATCTTTCTCCCTCTCCTCGTCCTCTGTCTCCCCATCCTTGGCTTCTTCGTTTTCCCCCTTCATCCTTCCTCTATTTCCCCCTCCTCGAGTTCTCCCTCCTCCTCCGTCTCCTTATCCAGCTTTCCCGTCCGTCTACTCAACCTGGAAGATTGGGGACCGAGGTTCCCCCATTACTCCTCATTCTTGTCTGTCGCTGTCGGCTTTGGAGTTCTGATCGAATGCAACCACCGCACCCGAGCAGCGCTCGCTGCTGGGGGGGAGTTGATCAAGTGTACCTGTAGAAAGAAAAAGCCACGAATGGGGGAGGAGAAACCCTGGGGGGCGGAGCACCTCCTCCTCACCCTCACCTCAGGAGGTCGCTAACTATATTCCACCGACTGGGCGACGCTTAATGAGAGGGGCGATTAATGGGGCTGGACAATGGTGCGCGTTTCGGGCCCTGAAGGCCCTTTGGGGCCCTAAAGGCCCCCTTGAGGAACCCTCAAGGGCACCTATTCTGCAGCCCTCGCTGCCCCCACCCCCCTTATTGCCCCCCATGACGCGAGGCCCGAACCGATCCTGGAAAAGCCAATCCTGTGCCAAGAATCGGCTCGGAAGCGCCTTCTCGCCTCGGCGGCCCAGCCTGGACCTGGAGGGCATTCCCATCGATCTCGGGACCGGGAGGGGGAGCCCGCGATCGGTGCGCGTGGACAACCTAGAAGAAGAGAGAACGGTAACCCCTGTGCCGGTGATAATCACACCGTGGGGATAATCAGGTTCGGGGCCCTGGGAGGATAATAAATCTGTCCCAGAGACACCGATGTTGGGATGTCTGGATGGGTCTTGAATGACCTCCAAGCTGATCTGCGGAGGGGATGAGTAGAATGAGGACTAAACGGAGGAGAAGATAAGGGGTAGACAAGAAGGACGAGGAGTAGGACGAGGACAAGACAAGAGGAGGACAACGAGGAGAGGGAGGAGGAGGAGAAGAAGACAAGGGGAGGATTAGGAGATTTCAAAAGGAATCAGAAGTTTCGGACCTATCAACATTTTCGTGCAAAACTCTATGGTGATGAATAGTTTCCTTCTCGTCCACTAGAAATACGCATGGTTGCTCTTCGGGGGTGATGCGCAATGACGCCGACAAACAAATACAACTGGGGCGCGGAGGGCCACGAACCGTGTGAGGTGTGTGTGTGTATGTGTTAAAATGGGGGTCGACGAGAGGGTGATGATGAAGATCACAAAGGATGCTGATTCTCATAACACATGATAATATTGATCATACGGTTCTGTGTACGACTCGTACCTTTTTCCTGTTGGGAATAAAGTTCTGCCTCGCCGCTCTGCCCGCCGATCCAATACACACGTGCCCCATGTGCAATCATGACTCGGGGGCTAAGGGGAATGCTCTGTTATCGCTGGTATGCGGTTCTAGTTGTGGATGCCGCGACAATGGACACCCTAACAGTCCTACCATCGAATTGAACATGTGTTTAACACGTCGGAAAATGTTCTGAACATGTTTCAAACCTGTTTTGCTGCGTGTTTAAAGCCTGATGTTTACTTGCTTTTTCGACATCTGGCAATTATTTGGCGACGTGCCTCTTCTCCATGGATCGTCCTCCACAATGTCGTAGGCACAAGCGGTCGCGTCCGAGCAAGGTCCCGATGTGTGGAGAGGCGCGAGCAGCCAAACCTACGACCCCAATCAGACATCCGGGATCGCACTGCAGAGGTGCGACCCCGTGGAAGTGCCTGGGGCGAACTCCAGCTTGACCCCCGATCATAGCACGACCTCGGAGTCTCAAGAGGAGGTCTGCGCAGATTTCTTGACCCCCTGGCGCGGCGCTCGCCAAGGGGGGCACCAGAAACGCCAGTCGGCGCCAGCCGGCGCCAGTCGGACTGACAGAAGATCGCACGGCGCGGAAATTCAATCTGAAGAACAAACACCGAGATAGGTCTGGACTTTCGGAGGTAACTACGCTTAGGTCGGGCATGTCCTCCTGCAGGCGGATTTTGGAAGAAAGAAATCGCCAAAACGAATCAAGAAAATAGAACATCATCCTCAAACTATCTTTCACTATTTTTGAATCTTCCTCCTGTAGAGGGACACGCCCGACTTACAGGTACGCGCGGATTTCTTCGATCGGCTCTGGACCCCCCCTCCCTGGAGCGCGGAGCGTGCCCGGAGCGGCGCCGCAGGCGCCGCCAGGGGGGGGGCCAGCGCAGGTCCGAGCAAGCCGCGCGGACCTCCGAGAGGTGCACTTCTGTGCAGCTCTGTCTCCTGGAAGAGTGGCGTCCACCACTCGCCCCCCCCTCCTCGGGGGCAGCCGAACCGACCCCTAGCAGACCATCCCCTTCCGTGACGTCATCCTCGCTTCTCTCGAGGGTGCGCAAGCATGGTCTAGCGATCCATGCATTTGGCGCGCGGTCGCCAAACCCATGGATCGGGGGAGGTGCCCTCCCCGACATGCGGCTGGTGCCGCCTCGTTCGGCGGCGGAGATCCGCGATTTCCTATGGAAACGGGACCCGTCGCTAATCCACGCCCCCTTGATCCATGTTTGCGATCGCTTGACTCTGAAGCTCCCCTCCGCCGCACACGAGCGTCTTGGAGCGAGTCGAGGAGGGCGCCACGGACGGGGATGGTTTGCCAGGGGTCGGTAAGGCCGCCCCAGACCTCCCCTCCTGGTTCGCACGCCGGGGGGGGGACTTTCAAGAAGGGGAGGTACAGTTAGGTCGGGCATGTCCTCGGACAGGCGGATTTGGGGAGAAAACCCCAAAAAAGTAAAACATGTTCAAACATTACACAAAATAGAAAATCGCCCCCAGACAATTTGTGCAAACTATGTTAGCAATGTTCCTCCTGTAGAGGGACATGCGCGACTTAAGGGTACGGCACAGGGCAACATTTACCGAGCGCTCCCCCCCTTCCCCCCAAGCTCAGGGCTGACACGTTCGGAGGACGACTGCGGTCAAAGTGCAACTCGTCAGACCCACCGCCCACTTTGAACATTGGGGGGGAGCGGGAGGCGTTGACGGGTGCATGTGACCATGAGTGTTCGATATGTTTCCCGAGGCCTGTAGGGCTGGACCTGGGACAGAATAACACCCTTCAGGAACATGAGACCCTCCGCCGGCCAAGCTGAAGTCAATTCGAGGGCACCCTTCCCCAGGACGCACCAAAACATTCAGCAAACACGACGAACATGAGGGCATCCTCCCCGAACCGACCTCGATCTCATACCTCGGTCGGAAAAAAGTGGGTAGAAACATGAAGTAGGAAGGCGTTGAAAGTACATTGGGTGTCCGCCCGCCCCCTAAAGAGGACGGAAAAGGTGAAACCACTCGATCCTTGAAGTAGGAAGGCGCTTCAAGTAGATGGCAGCCTGGGAATCCAGAAATACCTACTTTCAGCGACCGATGGGTATACCTCGGACCGGCTGTGGTAAATCGGCCCGTGCAGCCCATCCGTCCGGGGCCTCCCAGCGCCGACGCGTCGAGAAAAACGCGCCCGGCGGCCTGGCCGACGCCGGCTGCTCGCAGCAGGTGCCGTGCCCCGCCCCCTGAGAGTAAGTCGGACATGCCCCTCTACAGGAGGAATAGAGTCAAACATAGTAGAAAATAGTCTGGAGACGATGTTTCTACTATTGTTGCCAATGTTTGAATATTTTTTGTCTGTTTTTAATCTCTCTTCCAGAACCGGCCTGTAGGAGGGCATGCCCGCCCGAACCGAAAGTCGAAGCCAAGACGAGGATACAAGACGAGGATCTCTTCGGACGAGAAACAAATCCGGCGCGAGTTCATGGAGTGGGCGTTCGTTTTGGGGGGAGAAAGGTGCTCTGCTCGGACCCTAAAGGCCCCCTGCTGGCCCCTTCAGAGGCCCTCAACGAGCCCTTTTCGGCAGCCCTCGCTGCCCCCCATTTATCGCCCCTCCATTACGCGCCCCCCAACAAGTGGAGCGCGTGCCATAGCTCTTGCACAGGAGGAGGGGAATGAGGAGGAGGAAGAGGAGGAGCAGGAGGAGGAGGAGGACGAGGAGGATGAAGAGAAGCAGGAGGAGGAAGAGGAGGAGGAGGAGGAGGAGGAAAGGGGGGGAGAGAGGGGACGAGAAATCGGAGAGGTGTCGGGAGGGCGGGGCGGCGGGAGCGGTGCGACGCCGAAATAAAGTGGTCGGGGCGGAGGGGGGACGTGGTACACCAGGCGCACGGGGAGGGCTGAAGGGTCGTGGGGGCGGGACGGTGGGGGCCGTGCGACGCCGAAATAAAGTGGTCGGGGCGGAGGGGGTCGCGCTGGTGGTGGTGGTGGTGGTGGTTGGTGTGGGTGGGTGGGTGGGTGGAGGGGCGGGAGGGGCGGGGCAGTGGGGGCGGTGCGACGCCGAAATATGGTCGGGGCGGAGAGGGCTGGGGTGCAGAGGGCACTGGGCGGGTGGGGATGGGGGAAGGGTTGGCGTGGCTTGACGGTGGGGGCGGTGCGACGCCGGACTAGAATGATCGTGGCGGAGGGGAGCGGGGTGGGGAAGGCACTGGACGGGCGTCGGTGTCGCGCTGGTGGTGGTGGTGGTGGTGGTGGTGGTGGTGGTGGTGGTGGTGGTGGTGGTGGTGGTGGTGGTGGTGGTGGTGGTGCGGTTGTGGTGGCGGTGGTTGGTGCATACAGTAGTCGGGGCGGAATGGGGGCGGGCTGGACAGGGCACTGGACGGGGGGCGGTGTCACGCTTGTGGTGGTGGTGGTTAGAGTATGAAGCGGTCGGGGCGGACGGGGGCTGGGTGGAGAGAGATGGGTGCAAGGGCGGGGGGGGGAGGGGCGGGGGGTGCGGTGCGACACGGAGTACAACTGTCGAGGCGGCGGGGGCACTGGGGCGGAGGTTCCACTGGGCCTCTGGGGAACGCTGGTGAAAGGAAGAGTGGGGGTGCGGTGCGACGCAGGATCAAATGGTCGGGGCGGAGGTGGCACTGGGCGGAGCCTCCACTGGACCGCTGGGGCTGGGGAGTGGTAGGAGGGGGGCGAGGAGGGGGGGCCGGCGCGGTGCGACGCGGAATGAAATGATCCGGGCGGAGGCGGCACTGGGCGGAACATTCGCTGGGCCGTTGGGACACGCAAGGGAGAGCTGTGAGGGGGGCGGGCAGGGACGGGGGGGGGCGCGCGGTGCGACGCGGAATAAAATAGTCGGGGCGGAGGGGGCACTGGGCAGAGGTTCCACTGTGCCTCTGGGGAACACTGGGGGGAGGAAGAGAGGGTGCGGTGCGACGCGGAAGAAAATTCTCGAGGCAGAGGGGGCACTGGTCGATGGTTCCACTGGGCCTGTGGGGAACGCTGGGGAAAGGACGAGCGGGGGTGCGGTGCGACGCGGAATAACATTGTCGGGGCGGAGGTGGCACTGGGCGGAGGTTCCACTGGGCCGCTGGGGTTGGGGAGGGGCGGGAGGGGGGCGGGGAGAGGAGGGGCGGGCGCGGTGCGACGCGGAATAAAGTGATCGGGGCGGAGGAGCACTGGGCGGAAGATCCACTGGCCTTTGGGGCACGCTGGGGAAGGTTGTGAAGGGAGTGGGCGTGGGCTGGGCCGGGGAGAGGGGGGCGGGGAGGGGTGGGCGGGAGCGGTGCGACGCGAACTAAAATGGTCGGTGCGGAGGGGTCACTGGGCGGAGGTTCGCTCCACTGGGCCACTGGGGAACGCTGGGGAAGGGTATGAGGGGGGCGGGGCGGGCAGGGGCGGGGGGCTGGGGCGGGGCAGGGGGGGAGCGGGGAGGGGGGGGGCGGGTGCGGCGCGACGCGGAATAAAGTGGTCGGGGCGGAGGGGGTGCTGGGCGGAAGTTCCACTGGGCCACTGGGGAACGCTGGGAAGGGATAGGGGGCGGGGCAGCAGGGGGTGCGGTGCGACGCGGAATAAAATGGTCGGAACTCTAGACACCCTGTGCAAGAGAATAAATTGTGAATCTCTGGGATCTGGCGGCTCTGGAGGACGTCTCGGGCGCCGCGGCCTTCTCAGAGCGTTCCAGGACGGTCTGAGAGCGTGTCCAGAACGCTGTAGAATGGATGTATCCTCTTCCTAGCCCCGTCCGACCCCCCTTTCCCATCCAGAGGGCCTCTCCTGGGGCTGTTTATTTAGACTAGGAATTCGAAGCGAATCCACGTGTTGCAACGAAGCCCTGCGAGACGGCCACGCGAAAACGAGGCATCGGTACCTTGCCCTCCTCTGACGTCCCCCCTTTCGTCCGACCAGATCTTCCTGCTGCTCTTCCGCCCAGGGCGGACCTCTATTCTCTCCGCAGATTCGCTCGTACTGCCCGCGCTCGACTGGGCGCACCCCATTGGGCGACACGGGATCGCCACAGAGGCCTCCAAACTTTCAGGCCACGGGGGCTCCCAGCCCCAAACTTGGAACACCCTGCCGTGACAAAAGTCTTCCGTACGGTCAGGACGTGTTGCCCAGCGCGGCGCGGTGGCGGCCCCTGCGACACGCCGCCGTGCCCCGCAGGCGGACGGCGTGACACCCCGATCCCTGGGTCCGGAACGCGGACGCCTGGGAACGGGGACGCGCTTAGCGTGTCGCGCCGAAGCGTGGTGTGCCAGACCCGGCGACGCGACGCAGCAGGTGGTTCAGACAAGATGCGACCGACGACTGGCGGAGTAGGCGGAGCGGGCGGGGTCGAAACCACTCGGCGCACGCACCCCGCCCGATTTGGCATGAAAGGGAGTCGACGGAGTGGCTCCCGATCCTGTTTTGCAAGAGCACGAGCTATGGATGAGGAGGAGCCGAACTGTTTCGCGAGACCGCGCGGCCCGCGAGGGATGGGATATTCTAACATCATATCAAATCGCATTAACTTTTGCCACGACTGAGTATCAACGCAACCAAGTTTGATGCTCAAGCCTCCATGCAATCAGTTTGGAGCCTCTGGGATAGAAATACTGGTCCTTCGGCGACCAGACAAGCGCCTGCAGCCAGGCTTGAGCCAACTTGACAGCATGTACGCGGGCACGAAAGACATCCGCAATGTCTGAAGCGTTGGAGCGCGTGACCAGAAAGCTCAGTGAAGCAGCTCTTACTCAGCTATGCGCGATGCGCGGGGGCGACAACATAACAACAAACATTGCTTGTGGGGGACGACGTGCCACATGAGCATCGGCCCCGAAGCTGCAGGAAGGCGGAACCAGAATAACACCAATCCCCACCCCCGCTGCGTGACATGGAATGTACCAGAGTTCTGACTGAGCGTGTCTCGACCCACGTTGCGCTCAGATGTATTATCTGGTGCCTTCCTCCTGGTCTTCCTCCTCCTCCTCCTCTTCCTCCTCCTCCTTCTCATCCTCCTGCCCTCCTCCTCCCTCTGGGCGCCTTCCCCCCCCCCCCTCTCCAACCGCTCCGCCGCTCCCACCTCCCTCCCCCAGGCGCCCCGCCCGCCTCCTTGGCCCCGTGCCCCTGCGCCCTCCCCTCCCCCGCCGTGTGCTGAGCGCCCTGTTTCCCCCCCCCGCGCCCTCGCCCCGCCTGCCTCGGCCCCGCCCCCCGCGGCGCCGAGCACGGAGGGGGGGGGGCCTCCGCCGCCCGCGTGCCCCGCCTCCCCCCTGCCCTCGATCCCCCTCTGCTCGGCTGCGGCGCCGTGCTCCCCGAGGCCGCCAGGCCGGGCGGAGAGGGGGGGGAAGGGCACGGCGCGGAGGGCGGCGCCCCCGCGACCCCCACAAAGCCGCGGGCGGCTCGGGCCGCTCGCAAGCGCGCCCGACCCCGCGCAGCCCGGAGGAGTCGTTGGCAACGTGCGCAGTGCCCCCCAAGGGAAAGGAGGAGGAAGAGGGGGAGGAAGATAATGATGATGATGGTGATGATGATGATGATGACGATGATGATGATGATGACGATGATGATGATGATGATGCTGATGATGATGACGATGATGAAGATGAGGATGATGACGATGATGATGGCAATGATGATTATGAGGTCTGAAATCCCACCAGTGGATGGCCATAAATTCTTCACGGCGGAGCTGTGCGAACTGCCTCTGTTGCGTGCATGCTCGAGATTCGTGCATTCTGAGCGGCGTCGAGACTGCGCCACAACGACGCCTGAAACAGGAAAAGGACTAATCAAGCACAGGGTGGCACGAGGGTGGGCGTGCTTGAAATGCTGCGGAGCAAGAGCGGCCATTGAACGGGTCAGACCAGAGCGACACAAGCATCTGAATAGGTCTGAATTCCCCCCCGTGGATGGCCAGAACTTATTTACAGCGGAGCTGTGCAAACTGTCTCTGTTGTGCGCATGCTCGAGCTTCGTGCATTCTGAGCGGCGCCGAGAGCGCGCCGCACCGACCCTATCTTGCCCGACCTGGCACCTGGCCGCTTCATGCTAAGAGCAGTTTACTGTGAAAGCTGTCGGAGTCCCTGCCCGTCCCGAGGGAGAGCTACAAGCATAACCACTTTGCAATCGGCAATTACAAGCGAGTGTACGAGGTCGCACTAGGCGGACCGAACTCAGCGCGCCAGCAAGGGCCGCCGCGATCCTCTGGAAAACCATTCGAAAAAACAAAAAAAACAGAGGGCCCACAATATTGTCGTGGTTTGCCCGGCGAAATCCGAAACTACAAGGCGACGCAAGGCGATGTCTCCCATCACAAATGCTCACTAGTTGCTGAAACACGGCGGAGTGCGCGCAGGCGGTATCCGATAGAAAAATCGCGGCACACAGGCACGACCGGCTCAAACATGTATGGATCAGACGAGCTAGCACGTTAGTCGATTCATCTTCACCGAACCTCGGCCAGACCAAGAGAGCGCCCCGAACGCACCGAGAGGAGACCCAGCCCGCAAGGTGGCGGGAGATGCTGGCATTAGCCAATAGCGATCCGTCTATCCACACACTATGGCCTGAGCTGGAGAGGTCAGCAGCTCGGGCTAGCCCACCTCGTCCGCATCCGACCTCGATCAGCGTCTGCCCGGGCGCCCGGCGGCGGGCGCCGGCGAGGCTCCGCAGGGCCGCTTCGACTCCAGACGCTCCCCGAGCAGGAACGGCGGGCGCTGGGGCCGCCGCTGCTCGCCCAGGATCTGGCCGATGTCGGCCCACACCTGCTCGGGCCAGGTCGCGCCCTCCTCGTTGACCTTCTCTTGCGCGGCGGGGTGGCGGACGCGCCGCGAGTGCCGCGCGGCGCTCTGCGCGCTGGCGCGGCGCAGGCGGCCCTGCAGCGGATCCATCGGGCTCGCGCCCTCCACGGCGGCGGCGCGACGCGCCGCCGACTGTCGCAGCTGGCGCGGGATCGCGTCGGGCGCGCCCGGCACCGAGGCGAGCCGACGGTTGAACTCCGCGTTGAACTGCGCCGCCCCGAACGACCACAGGCGCGCGCCAGCGAATCGAGCAGCGCGGGGCCGTCGCGGGAAGCTGCCGCCGCCGCCGCGCCAAGCCGCGCCCCGCAGCAGCGCGCCCTCGTCCTGCGCGAGCGCCACGCTGCGCGTCGAACCCTCGATCGGGTGCGCCAACGCCGCCCAGCGCGGAGCAGCCGCGCGTCCTGGCCCCGCGAGCGTCTCGGCCGTCACGTTGACGAGATCGCTCGGCAGGCGGATCATGCCGTCTCGCGCCAGCGCCAATGCGCCCGCCCACTCGAAGTCGTCCTCCAGCGCGGCAATCCCGATGAGGGCCCAGATGGTGGGCTTCCCGACGGGCATCATCGGCGCGCCCCTGGAGTTCGCTTGAAAGCCTGACAGCGCGGCCCGCGCCAGCGGAAGGCCCCCCTGCTTGGGCCTCGGCACGCGCGGAAGCCAGCGCTGCACGGACGCCAGCAGCCGCGAGCCCGTCTCCGCGAGCTCCCCGCCCCAGAACAGCATGTCCAAGTAGCCCGCCAGAAGGCCGTCCAGGCGGCCTACCGTGATGGCATCCAGCGACGGCACCTCGGCCCACTCCAGGAAGCTGGCCACGTGCTTGTCGAAGCTGCCGATGGTGGCCGCGCGCACCTTGCGCCTCTGCAAGAAGGTCAGCCCACGCCGAGGGTCGCAGTTGATGCCGCCGAACTTCGGGGCTCTCCGCTTCGCCCGATTGGCCTTCTGGCGCGCCAGCTCCGCGCGGCCTGCTGCCTTCGCTCGAGCTGGAGGAGGGGCTCCACAGCTCGCCGTCGGCAGGGGTCGAGTGGCCCTGACTGCCTTCTGGGCCGCCCGAGCTCGCCGAAGTCGAAGTATCGGCAGCGGCCTCGGCGTCGGGCTCGCTTGACGGGGTGGTCGTAGTTGTCTCTGCTCGCTTTCTCGACAGCGGCTCCCCGCGCGAGGCTGGCCCAGGCCGTGCCAACATTGCGGGGGCCGGCAGCGAAGAGGCCAAGGGCGCCTGTCATGGTGCGCGAAGCCTTGTCGGAGGTGTTCCACTCTGAAGGTAGCCGTCGCACGGCTACGGATATGTCCTGAACGATGCTGCAACTGCAGATCCCCCGAAACGCCTGATTGATCAAAGGAGATGCGGACCGACCCTTTCCAACTTGAAGTACCAAGGACAAGTCACCATTGAGCATTCGGTGCAAATGGCCTCGCGAGCGGAAGGCGCGCATCTTGTGGCGAATGCCCAGAGACAGTGCGCGGCCCTCGAGCCCCAGGAAAGCCCCCTCGCGGCTCCACCGCCCGGAAGTCACGTCCTGCCACGCCTCCAACATGAGGGCGAGTTCCGAGTCGAAGGCGGCGAACGACGCCTGCTCGTGCGAGGGGGCGTCGCTGTTCGCAAAAGCGAAACCTCGAGCGTTGATGGCCCCCTCACCGCGGCAGCGCCAGCGCTTCCTCACCCGCGCCGTCTCGATCACAATCTTAGAGTCGACCTCGCGCTCGGTGCTGCCGTAACCGCCGAACATCCAGCCGAGCGGGTCGAGGTCACCCGCGCTGGCATCGGTGAAGCAGACCATCGTGTCCACGGGGCGCTTCGCGTCGCAGTCGGCGAACGGCACCAGAGCAGCAGCCGCGCGTAGATCCCGAACGACCTCGGGCCAAAGCCTCCAGCGGTTGTCACCGGCCTGCTTGATGAAGCGGTGGCATGTAGACTGAAAGATGCACAAGAGAGGAAGACGTAGAAGAGCGGCCCAGTTGAAGTGTCCGACGAGGCTGGGCAGCTCAGAGGCCGAAGCGAACCGCTGCGACGCCTGGCGTAGCAGCGCCTGGCAAATCTTCCACACCCGCGGGCGCCCCATTCATGTGCGCCCCGAGTCTCGGTCGCAGATTAAGACCGTGAGCTTCTGCTCCTGGCTCGGCAGCTCCACCTCCTTGCGCGCCCAGCGTCGTCGAAGGCGCCGTAGACGGTGCTCAGCTGGCCGACGGCGTGCTGGCAAAAGAAGAGGCTCCAGCCCCAGCCCACAGGTAGAAGCCTCAAGCATGGTGACCACTTGCGAGAAACAGTAGCATCGAGAACACTAGCGGGAAGAAAGTCAACAAGGGCGTCTCGAACAATACTAGGAAAAACCATTTGCTCACTGAGCCCAGCAGGCGCGAAGAACCGATAGAACGCTGCTCCGATGTCGGACCGGCCGAGGTGCATGCTGCTGCCAGCGTCGAGCCGGAGACTCTGCCAGCTTCCTGCCGTCGGCAACTCGGCGACGTCGGGGTCGTAGAACATGCGGTTCGCCCTGCGCGTGTCCAGGGCCACCCGCTGCCCGCCGCCCCCGTCGCGCTTGGCCACGAAAAACGGCGTAAGCGTGTGCTTCTGATCCTAGGTGAAGTAAATCATGCCCGCCTCGGACAGATCTTGCAACACAGCTGGCGCGTAGGCTCGACGAGCCCTTCGGCCTGGCGTCGAAGTGAGGTGGTGCATTGGTAAGCCGCTCATGGCGAGGGCGCAAGAGATGCTTCTCCCAATTCTGCCACGAGTAACGCACAGACTCCGAAAACAAGTAGATGGGCTCGCACTTCCTCGAACCCGGAGGCACCGCAACGCTCCCTTCGGTGAACAGAACCGCTTTCGCTGGGGACGCGTCGTACCCAGGAGTGCAACCACGCAGCTCCCTGCAGGCCGCCGCGGGGCTGATGACGGGCGGGCCGAACGACCCCGCAGTGATCGCGAAGGTCTCGAACTCCACGTCGCCGATGGACCCCTTACCGTCGCCGTCGCTACAGCACCTCGTCGAGCGAGCGCCACATAGCAAAGCGCATCTGGAGGCATAAGTCCGCGGAGCTCAATCTCCAGCCCCGGCCGTGCACCGCGAGCCCGCCCTCTCGTTTCGGCAAGTGCCGCCGATCGGTCATGTCGAACGGAACCACGATACGCAGCGCCTGGGCCGTCAACTCGTGAGGGTGCACGTCGCCGTCGGGCGTCACCATGTACCACGCGCGACCATCCTCGTCGGCCTTGTCGCCCGGATCCTGACCAGTCACCTCCGTGTACTGCTCGGGCGTTCAGGGCATCCGCGCGATCCGCGCCTGTAGACTTCCGCCCACGCGCCACTGGATCTCGAAGCGCTGGCCCGCCTGAGCGCGGAAAGGCATATATGCCGATGAGGAAGCCGTGCACCGCGCTGCTCAGCATGAGGATGGCTGCACCCCACCGCAGAGGGCCCAGCAACTGAAGCGCCACGGCGCGCTCCGTCGCGTTGCCGAGTGTTCCCTCCAGCGCCGCCCAGCCTCGCGCGAAAATGGCCCACTGGCCGAGGCGCGCGGCAGCGGTGGCAACCACCCCCCCACGGCATAAAGCGGACGCATGATCGGCTTGTGCTTGAAATTCTGCGGAGCAAGAACGGTCATGGAACGGATCAGACCACAGCGACACAAACATCTGAATATGGTGATGATGATGCTGCTGCTGATAATGATGAGGAAGAGGAGGAGGAGGAGGAGGAGGAGGAGGAGGAGGAGGAGGAGGAGGACGACGACGACGACGACGAGGGGAGGGGCCGAGGAAAGGAGGAGAGGAGAGGAGAGGAGAGGAGAGAGGAGAGAAGAGAAGGAAGGAAATAAGTAGGAGAGGAAAGGAGAGGAGAGGGGAGGAGAGGAGAGGAAAGGAAACGAGAGGAAAGGAGAGCAGAGGAAAGGAGAGGAGGGGAGATGAGAGGAGAGGAGGGAGGAGGAGGAGGAGAAGGAGGAGGATGAGCAGAAAGAGGAGGGGAGGAGAGGAGGAAGAGGAGGAGGAGGATCAGCAGGAAGATGAGGATGACAGCAGGCAGCCTTTATTTAGTGCGCGTGCGTGCGAAGATGGAGCAGGAGGACGAGGAGGACGAGGAGGAGGAGGAGGAGGAGGAGGAGGAGGAGGAGGAGGAGGCCGAGGGCGAAGAGGAGCTGGGTGCGGCCGAGGGCGATAAGCACCAGCAGTGGGGGGATCGAGCCGAGGCGTGCGCGGCAGGTCCGACTCGACGTCGCGCGCGTCAACCTCGGCGGCCTCGGGGAGCGGCTCTGGCATGCTCAGCGGGACGGTGCCGCGCCTGCCCCGAGCGGGGCAGGCCGCCGCCGCAGCACCAGGGAGGGAGGGCCCGGGGCGGCCACGCACGCGGCCGGCGCCGCGCATGAGAGGCCGTCGGCATCGCGCCGCAGCGTCGCTGCGCCGCCATCGTCTCGATCGCCTCTGCCGCCGTCGCATCTCAGGCGTGGGTCCGTCGATCAGTGCGTGTTCGTTCCCCACGCTGCGTGACCTGGCCTGCCTACGTCGCGCCGCCGCGCGCGTGGCCGCAACGCCAAAAAAAGTGTGTCTGTGTCTGTGTCTGTGTGTGTGTGCGAGGCTGGAAGAGATGTGGTGAACGTCACTCGGAAGAGACAGCTTTGGCAAAAGAGGAGCAGGATGCCGAGTTCCGGCTCTGCTGTGCAGCGGGGTGGGGTCAGGGGGGGCCCGCCACCTCCCCCCTCATCTCTCTTCCGCCTCCATCTGCTCATCCCTCCTGCTCGCCCACCCTCCTCCGTCCGCCCCCGTCCTCGTTTCCTTGCCCTACTCGCCCACAGAACTCTGACGACTCGCTTCTCTCGCGCCGCCACACACAGTCGAGCTCGCTTTGAGAGGACAGGTGATGGGAGCCAAGACCCTCCCGATGGCCAGCCTGCAATCGAAGCGTAGGGCATGGGCCGCCAAACGCAGGACCCCAAGATGTCCTTGACGTGGTGGGGCCGCCCTGCTTATCGAACCCCACTGTGCCGAGCCGCGCCTGACGGCCCAAGAGCTCGGGAATGCCAGCCCAGCTGCTGTATTCAATCGGCGGGCGCACAGGTGCGAAGCGGTCGGACGCCGATCGGGCCCAAGGCGGGGCGCGCCGGAGCAGATCAGGGCACAGAGGAGGAGGAGGAGGAGGAGGAGGAGGAGGAGAAGGAGGAGGAGGAGGAGGAGGAGGGAGGAGGAGGAAGAGGAGAAGGAGGAGGAGGAGGAAGAGGCAGCGCGAGGGCGAGAACCAAGCCGCTCAAACTGTGGAGACCTTCGCGGGGTGCCTCCGAGAGGACGTGCGAGCAGCGCACCAGCTGGCCCAGAGGCATCAAACTGCGAAGGCCCTCCGCCCCATCCGCCGGGCGAGAGCCAGCGGCGGTGCGCGCACGCTGCCGCGCTTGGGCGCGAAGAGGCGCGCGCGCGCGCGAGGGCCGCGAGGGCTGGCGGCCAGCCCTGGGGCGTGGGTGCGAGGCGGGGATGCACTGAGTTTCTTAATAAGCGGGGGGGTACCCCCCCGACGGGGGTCAACCTCGCCTCGTCGTCGCGCCGCGACGAGGGTCGGAACGCCTTCGGCGCGCGGTGGCTGGCTGCACGGGGTCGATGTGTGGCTGTCGGTGGAGGTGGAAGTGAAGAGTCGCATGCTAGAGGTTTGAGGTCGTAATGTTGAGCTGATGGACGCTGGAGGTCAATAGGTGAAGGTGGAAGTGGAAAGTCGGCCGCCAGAGGTTGGAGGTCGTAATGTTGAGCTGGTGGAGGTAGGGAAGTCGATCGGTGGAGGTGGAAGTGAAGAGTCGCATGCTAGAGTTTAGAGGTCGTAATGTTGAGCTGATGGACGCTGGAGGTCGATAGGTGGATGTGGAAGTGGAGAGTCGGATGCTGGAGATTTTTGGGTATGAAGTAACATTTGCGCGTTCTTCTGCCCCTACTCTGCCCTCGGAGGAGGGGTAAAACGAGGTGCCGACGAGGGAGAGAACGAGGAGCATAGGATAGACATGGGGTCGAGACGGAGCAGGAGCAGCAGCAAGCAGGGAAGGACCAGCAGCAAGGGCAGCGAGCAAGCAAAATCAAATATTGAATAGAAGAACAACGAAAATCAAGCGGGGGATCGCGGACCGCCGGGAAGGCAAGCGCGCAATGTCGCAGGAATGGGCAAGAGCCGAGGTGACCAAAACTGCGGACGAAAGGAAGCAGGCGTGGCGGTTGGGCACGGACACCTGGACAGAGGGGCCGAAGACCGCCATCATGATTGCGATGCTGATGCCAATAACGCACTCGAGTAGCGGTGTGATGAGTCTGTAAGCGGCGGGGCTTAGCGAGCAGAGGAAGGAACTAGATGCTGAATGGTTTCCTCCTGTACACCTTTCTACGCCGGTCCTCGTCCTCGATTACCGCTCCTCCTCCTCCTCCTCCTCGTCGGCCCCCGTTCCTCGACCCTCCTCTTCCCCCTCCCCCTGACCACAAAAAGGGAAGAGAATGCTTATTATTTGGCACGGATGTCTCCACGTGTGCATCTCGTGTGTGGCACTTCCCACAGTGGGCGCCTGATTGAAATAAAACTCAGCCTGCGGCGGCTGAGCGCTCCCTGCTGGCTCCCCCATCGGAACGGCCAAATGTTATGCCTGTTGCATCGCGGTCCGTTCGGATTCGAAAGTGAAGGAAGACGGGGGTGCCTAAACCAGCGCCTCGCTCCAGACGTCCGCACAATCTGGACGCGAACTGGCACATGCAAATCCCCAGGCGGCTTCTCCTTAGGGTGCCCAAGTGACACGCCTGCTAGATTGCGGTTCGAAAAGATAAGGGCCGGAGGTGCAACACAAGCGCCTCGCCAGAGACAACCCCACAATCGAACCGCGAACGAGCAAGTTTCTCACACCACTGACGGCTCGCCCTTCGGGCGCTCCAGTGCCACGCCTAACACATCGTGGTGGCAACGGCGCTCTGAAATGAAAGGGGCCGAGGACTCCAAACGATCGTCTCGTTCGAGGCATCCCCAGTCTAGCCGCGAACAGGCAAGAGCATGAAGGAGACTGATCGCACGCGTGCGCAAATGGCTTTGCACAGTGCCGTGCGGACCGCTGG